GGACCTTAGTCTAGTTCCCTTACAGCAGCATGTTTTAGATTGGATAGGCCGTAGGTTTTTCTGTGCCATGGGAGCCGGACCTGTCTGCGCCTCTTTTTCTACTGCTGTTACTCCGCCCTGTCGGAACAAGATCTTCCCGCGAGGTGTGCCTTGGTGTTCAGCAAAACAAAAGCTGAAAAACGAAGAGGGCAATGCTCAACTGGCCTTTGTGCTGTCAGTGGTACGGGCTTGCTTAGCATCTGACACTCGATTCTGGGTTGAGAATCCTGATGGATCCTGGATTTGGAAACAAGATGCTGAACTCTCATGGGAAGGCTTGCTGATGCATTCCGCGGTTGGTGACTTTCGAGTTGACTATTGCCGTTTTGGCACACCGTGGAGGAAGAGAACTCGTTTTCGAACAGATTTGCATTTAGCTGGACAGCGCTGTTTCTGTGAATGCAAAAAGAGGTAGATGCAAAGAGAAAGGTGTGAACTATACCCAAATGGCGGAGGCCTATCCCCGGCCTCTTTCCGACATTCTCGGAGCTGCTGCGGCCATTGATGGTGGCTATGCCCCTCAACGCAGGAAGCTAGATGTTGCAGCTTGTGCTCGGTGTATTGCAAGGTGTGTAGGCGAAGCCCTGAAGCCGGGACCAAGAAGACCGGTTTCTCGCGACGTCGAGTTTTCGCTGGCAGATGTGAACTTGCTAGAGCCGGGAACCATTGCCATCCGAGCGAGGATTTGGAGTAACTTCGTTCAATGGGTTTTAAGCCATTTTGGAAAGCATTTTTGGAGGGCTGCTTTGACGCTGCCCCCTTTGTTTTCCCAGTTACTGGTTGCTTTTGGATATCATTGTTTCGAGTCCAGTGTTTCTTTGCATTATTACCGCCAACTGCTTGCGCACGTACAGAGAGAGATTTTGGGCATTCGAGTTTTCATGTCACCGGCCTGGGAAGTTTGCTCGAAATGGGAGCTGGTTGAGCCGATCCAACATCGGCCGCCTTTGCCCGAACCGATACTTCGTGCAATGAGTGTTATAGGCCTCTCGTGGGGCTGGACTCGCTGGACTACAGCTCTGTTGTTTGCATTTTTCGCTGCAGCCAGAATAGGAGAAGTCCTGAAAGCACGTCGTAGGCATTTGTTGACTCCAGCCGATCTGCTTTCTGAGCGAAAGGTCGCTTACCTCCAGATTGAAAGCCCAAAGTCCCGCCGTCGGGGAGCCAAGATGCAGTATGTCACCGTGGAGGAACCCTTGGTGATAGAATTGATTGATTCAGTGTGGCAGCAATTGGAGAAAGATGAACCTTTATTTCCTTTATCACCCGGAGCCTTTCGCACCAGGTGGAACGCAGTGCTCAAGCATCTTCAGGTTGGCACCGAACACCGGCTAACCCCCGGCTCGCTACGTGCCGGAGGAGCCGTGTTCCTGCACCGATCTGGTGTCAGCATCTCTGATCTTTTGTGGAGGATGCGTTTGCAGCACCAGAAAACGCTGAGCTACTACCTGCAGGAAGTTACAGCTTCGTCCATTCTGCCATCATTAAGAGCTGAAGTGCGGGAAAACATCCAGGTCCTTCAGAGCGCATTGCCGCACTTCGTGTTCACTCGTGCGAGGCCCGCAGCGCACAACCGTGCATAGCTTTGCAGCTTCAGTCAGTTGTAGGCCTCGGGAGCTTTGCGGATGTGGCGGCTCCAACTTCGTACCCAGTTCGTTGCAGCCACCTTG